TCCTGGCTGGGTGGGTATTGCACCACCTCGGCTTTGCTCCGGCCAACCTCTGCTCCCCTGTGCTGGGGGGCTCTGCCCCAGTCCCTGTGCCTGGCTGGCAGCAGGCTCATGGGGTGCCCAAGGTGCTGCAACTGCACCCTTCACCCAGGCGGCAATCCCTAGCGAGGGTGAGGACAGAGAAGACCCAAAACAAGACCAAAAAGCAGGAGCTGGTGGAGCCTGGAGGAAGGCAGCACCCCCTCAGGTCCCTGCCCTGGCCCAGCCCTGGGAAGGGGGTTTGGGCTCTGTGAGCACCCACGCTCCCGGCGCCCTTGGCAGCATCACGGGGCTGCTCCACACCGATAGCTCGGGACAAAGCCGCACGGAGCACCCGGCAAGTGGCGCTGGCAGCGCTCCCGGGTGAGGAGGAGGAAGGGGGAGGATTGCGCTCCCACCCATACCAACAAAGCCCTGGCAGCCCAGGCTCCCCAGGACACTGGGACCACGAATTCGGGGTGTGGGGAAGCCCTGCAGGATAGACAAACAGATGTCTCGGGGCAGGGGTCAGGTCATGGCAGCAAGGAGGCTCCGAGCCCTCAAAGGCAGCCGGTGCACTCGAAACGTCGCAAACGCCGTCCCCCAGCCCCCCCCACCAGTGGCTGGCAGCTCCTCCAGCTCAGCATGCCACGCTGCCCTCCCCAAACCCCTTATGCCAACAGAAACCTTGCAGGCAGCCACCATTCTGCATCCCCGAGATAAAAATATAAATGCATCCGATCCTCCAGTGGCCATATCCTGCCCGTTCATGGGGCGAGCACCCCGCAGTAGGGCATCCTTCCAGCCCCAAAGTCCCCCTGGCCAGAAGGGACCCGAGGCTCAGCATGCCACGCTGCCCTCCCCAAACCCCTTATGCCAACAGAAACCTTGCAGGCAGCCACCATTCTGCATCCCCGAGATAAAAATATAAATGCATCCGATCCTCCAGTGGCCATATCCTGCCCGTTCATGGGGCGAGCACCCCGCAGTAGGGCATCCTTCCAGCCCCAAAGTCCCCCTGGCCAGAAGGGACCCGAGGTGAGAGGGTTTGGGGTCAACACCCAGGATGCAGAGAAGCCCCATGGCCACAAGGCTGGGAGTTGGATAGAAGGAAAACGGAAATGCCCCTCATTTCTATAAGCTTCTGCGTCCTCTCCTCCAAGGCCAGCAGCCCTCCTGCCGCGCTGGGGCACGGATTAGCCAGCGGAGCCTTGTTAGGAGCAATTACAGCCTCCGGTGGGGAGGGCGGCGGGAGAAGCCGGACTCAGCCCCCAGCACGGGCATCCCACGCCTCCCCTCTCCTCTGCACCCAGGGGGGGCAGAGGGACATCTCCTGCCTGCAGAGGTTCCCACTTGGGATGGGGAGCTCAGCAGCATCACATCCCTATTCCTGCCCTGGAACAGCACTTGGGGCATCTCCAGACCCTTCTCCCTCCAGGATCATGCTGGGCCATCCCTTCCCCAGCACCTTTGGCTGCCTGGCAGGACCAGCGACCCCAGGGATGTGGGGACCCCAGCTGCCAGGATCCGCTCTCCAGCTCCCCAACAGCAATTTCAGGGCAGGTTTTGAAGCCCTATGTCCCAGGAAACTCCCCACAGCCCTACAAGCAGCAACAAGCCCGTCGGCAGCAGTGTTCCTGCTTACTCAAAGAGAAACATGACGGCTCTGAGGACACCCAGGCCAGCAAATTCACACGGATCCCGAAATCTGGCGCACGCATTTGGGCTTCATACAAAGGGGATGCAAAGCAGCCTCCTCACAGCATCCCCGTCACGTCCCGTTGGACTGGAGCTGCTTTTCATGCAGCTGCCTCGAAAGGAAATTTAATTCATTTCCTAATTAGACACCAGCTACTCCCACTGCAATGCTCCCAAATGGGGGGGTGATCTGCTCCCTGTTATACCCCAAAACCCAGCCCTGGAAGGCTCACTCGGATTTTACAAAGCAGGATAAGCATTGCTGCTAGGGATGGCTCTAATTTAGCACTAAATTTCAAGAGGGAAGGCTGGGGCTGGTGGCAAAAGCCTTGCCCTGGTAAAAGCAGCCCCAGCTCGTGCCAGGGCACTGGGCTGGCA